GGAGGAAGGAGAAAGGGGGCAATGGGAAGGGAAAGGAAAAGGGAAAAAGATAGGGAGCCATGGTCAGAAACAGGGCACGGAGAGTGCTTTCTGTGTGCATTATGATTTGATTGCATGGGATTTGGGGCGAAAAAGTAGCTACGTTTACAGAGCGTTGAGCACTCTAAGTTACGTCACGAGATTATGTGCAGGCGTTCACTCGTAGACCACACTGAATAAGAATATGGTCAAATTACATTAGCATAACCGGACAGAGAATTTATGGTCAGTGTTCACGAACGTGAGTGGACAAAGCTGGCGTTAGTCAGCATGGGTGGACCCCGGCCAGCACGCCGGAGGCCCGGCCATGCCTTGGTGGATTTAGTGGACTACTGTGGTGCAGTTGAAGCTTGCGTACGCCATCTGCATGGCAGCCGTGCTCACAAGGAAAACCGGTATAATGTGAAGAGGTGAAGGAGCCATCGTAATAAAACAATCATACCGGATTATGCTGGAATTTCCATTTTGTTTGCTTGTACCGATTAAGTGAATGCTTCGTCCGTCCCTACCAAATTGCTACCTTAGTTGGTTTGAGTGCCTGCCTTCCGATCCACCAACCCGTGGCGGGGTGGAATCGAGTCGCTTAAGGCGTTCGCCATTTTACCTCGACAGATATGGCTTGCGGCTGGTGGCAGGGCCCGTACCAAAGGCCAGATGACGTCAGAGGCAGGACGAGCCGTACCGAGCATTGCGGCACGTTCAGCTTTCGTCACCAACTTCTGCCGCTGACCCGGAATTGCGCGGTCGGATGACAGGGGCCGGGGCTCACACCACAAGCATGCTTAGCGTGAGCTCTAATCCCCCAAATCCACCCATACAAAAAGGTTTGTTTTATTTCTTAATGTCAATGTACTAATTATTGAACTCAGCGTTACATGTTTCGTGCGACATGTCTTGTTGAAACACGGCAGTTAGATTACTCGCGGTCGTTTTGTGCTACCAATTTGTACATTCATGTGGTTAAGATTTCCGTTGCCCTTCCTCTCCTTTCACCAAACGCTTGACGAGCTGTTGAAGGATCCCAGCTACCTACCACAAATAGATGGCTATCGAGTCTCGGAGATTGATCTTACATCCCAAAAGGGCTTGAGCGGCTATGTATGGGCGATATGTTCCCGTTTGATGTATTTCTGGAACGTGTGATGTTCTTAAACCCTTTTCGCTACATTCTGAAGTTTCAGACGCAGTCGTTGCTAGTTCATAACGTTTTGATCCGAGCGATTCACATATCGCCAGGATGCCCGCGTGGTCTTCTGAATACAAGCATTGGTGACAGGACGTTTCAGAATCGCTGTCTCATTGGGTGTCGGCACCAGGTTAGCTTCTCCCAATGCGTTCCTCCTGGCAGTCAGGGGCCAGTTTGCGACATTCTGCACATCTGACCACCACACTTTCATCGGCCATGGCCATGAGTCCTCACTCGGGCGTTTGGGTCGCCTCCAAATTGGGATCAAATTGGGCCAATCGCAGTTTTATAGTCACGCGTTGGTAGATTGGGCAACATGCCGTACGCATCTATCTGATGATGCACGCAAAACGTATGCGGTTTTTAGGTGCGTGTAAGACAAGACCCAGTTCATGTTAAGTTTATGGTACAAATGGTGAGTAGGAATTAAGATAGGTAGTTTTGACGAATAGTTCCACTTACCGTGTAATACTGACTGTGTCATCCCATTTTTAGGACCAGACTTTAGGCAGGCTAATTAACACGTTGGTATTTTAGCCGCATTAACGCAACAGTTAGGAATATATTCGCATAAGGCTACCATTTTCATGTGGCCTTAACTTCCAGTTTGTCATTATGCATATTTCCAGAGATGTTTAAAAGACGCATTTCACCTCCTGAATCATGCTCTGGGACCTTATGCAATCCCAATGTTGGATATTTCTTACTGCCTGAAAATCAAAATAATTTCGAAACGTTTTTTTAAGCACCGGAGTAGCTAATAACGTATATGGAGCAGGTGAGATGAGATTTTTAACACGACATCATGAAACATGCGTGATATACAGGCTGGCGTTCCAAGGATGTGACGTCACAGTTTCCAAAGAAGCAAGTATTTTGAAAATGTTGCCACAAATGAGGAGTGTTTGAGCCACTTGGAGGGGAGAAGTTCGGCTGGCGATTTTGCAAGCTACTGGCGCATGTTTGACCATCGCAATATTTTACTAAAGCGATGCGGACCAATTTTACAATGCCTTCAGACATTGTGGATGCATCTAAATCAGGATAACACCCTGATGGTTTCACATCATCACCAATCTTTGTGTTTTCGGAAATAACGTTATGATTGCACCTTGAAAGTATAAGTGAAGACGCTTTTTGCGGCGCAGAACAAACAAGGGGCAAAAAACAGACGTGATTTTCACCATACACGTGATATCTCAATATGGCGGTTGGGAGCCGTCGTCATTTTGAACCCATATGGATAGAAGTTATTAATGCACTGGAATC